GCCACAAGCCCACTTGCAGGATGTGTCGACTCTTGGCTTTGGTTTCATTGCCCAGATGCAGGATTCCTTGATTCCAGGAACAGTGATGCTGGAATCCACAGGGCAAATGCTTATAGACGAGGTTGAAGAGGGGCTGCCACATGGATATCCATGGATTCCCCTCCACGTGCACCTCACAATCTGTCTGTAGGAGAATGAGGCTGGTGTTGTAGTAGAGGCCTCCCAGATCTGATGGGAGAATCAGTGCCAACATCTGTGCTGGAGGATGCTTGACACCTAGAAATGTCATGTTCAGGCTCCAAAGTAAAGCAACCGTATCTTCATTAATGTCCCCGTCCTGTAGAATTACACGGGGATGTGGAATTTGGCCAGGGGAATTAATTACTAAGGGTTAACATTCTTAAGTTTTAAGAGAACCAATGGGAATGGTTGTGACCATTGTGAACAAACCCTTACTTCAAATTGTGTTTATCTTGGAAAGCCAAGGTTCGGGCACCAAATTCTACAGTGAGTGTAGGCAGAGAAAAAACCAAGTCTGATGGGGTCCTCTCTGCCAAGGAAAAGCCAAGGCATCTGTCTCTGACACAAGGGGATGACACAGGGAGGAGGGGGAGCCAGAGGAAGTCCCTTCCGATTTCAGAGGTTCTATCGCTGTCCAGCCTCACGGATGCGGCAGGCCACGGCAGTGATGAGAGCTGCCCCCTTCCCACTGCCATCCTCTGACTCCAGGAAGGACACATCACATTTCGGAGCCAGGTCCTTCACCGTCTCGTGCATGACTTTAGCAAAGCTGGAAAAGGCAGAAGGAAGACACGGGAAAAACCGTCTTAGTTGTGATTAATTTGTGCATTCAGAAATAAGACCCTAAGAAGTGATCCTGGAAACCCAGGAATAATTAAGATGAGGAGAAGGATGACAGTCACAAATGTAGCAAACATTTACTATTTATTAGGTACCAGAAAACCGAGGCTTGGAGATGCTAGTACTATTGCCCAATACACACATTAGGCAATTGGGGGAGCTAGGATTCAACTTTGGCAGGCCACAATTCTTGCAAATTGTGCTCTTAAAACTAATCAGTAAAAGAGAAGTTCAACAGTCATGAAAGCCATAAGTGTGCCTTGCAGAGGCACACAATCTGTTCACAAACTCTGGGGAGGAGGATTGACACCCATGAATGTGATTTTATATTTTCCAGGGGTATTGCCTTACAAGAGACCCACATCTACGCCAAAGTGTCACTGAAGGCAAAAGGAGCAGACTTAACAGAGTTACTGTTAGGACCTTACAGTGACTGCAGATCCTTTCCATATGGGACTAGAGAAAGAGACAGTCATCATCCACCCAGCACAGCAGGGTCGGGGTGCCCTCCCCATCTGTGAAGCTAAGGATGCCAAGTCCCAGGGCCCCGTCCTAACCCTCATCTGGGATCAAGGCTCCTATCTGCACAGCGACGCTGACCATCCAGAAAAGGAACTCAGAACTTCTGAAGTTCCCTTTTCACTAACTGTGTAGACTCTGGGAGAGCCTCTTACCTCCTTGAAATAAACCTAGTGGGTAAAGTTCAATCATGGACTCTCCATCCTCCGTTCCATCCTGTGCCCACTGTCTGGGCCCGGGCACAGATCTACTCTTTTAACCTTTAGCTGAAACCTTCCGGGGGAGAGGATTGGGGCATTTTCTGACTTCAAAATGAATTATTCAAAATATATGCAAATGAGGGAAGAAGAGAGCAGAGAAATGGTTGGTAAGAGGGGAGAAAAAAGAAGAGATGAAGAAAGAGAGACAAAAGAGTAAAAAGAAAAGAAAATGTAGTTCTCCCTCCTAGGGGTCGGGGAGAGGGTGTGAAGTGAACCTTTTCTGTAAAAGGCTGGCAGTAAATGCTTTCAGCTTTGTGGTCTCTTGCGACAACCCTGCCGCTGCAGGTAGCAGCCGTAGACAATACATGAACTGATGGGCATGGCTGTGTTCCAACAGAACCTTATTTACAAAAACAGCCTGTGGCTGCTGTTTGCCAACTCCTGCTCTAGACTGTAGAAAAATATCTTGCTCCAGAGTTCTGGCATACATTTAATAGAATGTTCACAGCCACACTCTTTGTAATAGTCAAAATCTAGAAATAACCCAAATATCACATCAACGATAGAATAAACTATAGCATACTCAAAGGTACGCTATACAGCCCTGAAAATTAACGAACTACCTGTACATACTTCAATGTGGACACATCTCAAAAGACACACTGTGTGAGAAAAGCCAGTCACAGGAGAAATGCCATATGATTCTATGTATGTTAAAAAATAAGACTAAGCAATATGGATACACACCGAGATATACTCGGTAAAAGAAAAGCAAGGGACTGATTCAAGGCAGCACTTACCCCTGGCAGGGGACAGTGTGGCACAACTGGGGAGGGGCTCGTAGGAGCTTCCAATGATGAAAGTAAAACTCAGGCCTACTTCTGGCTATTCATCTTTAATCTATGACATATACAGTGTGTACACTCTTTGGAATGACTGATAATTTGCTACAAAGTAAGAAAGGAAAGAGAGAAAGAAAAGGGAAAGATCGGAGACAGGGGAGAAGGAAGGTAGGCAGAGAAGGCTGGGGTCAGGCACTCACTGAGGATGGAGCTTGTAGAGGGTCCCATCCACACCCACTGTCACTTTGAGAGTGTCCAGCCCGCGGTTTTCTCGTATCTTGTCCACCACGGCAGCCATGCCTGCGCCACAGAGCTGGGCTGCCCGCCGCGCCACCACAGTGCACACCTCTTTGACGATGATGCTGTCGTCGCAGGTGCTCTCAAGCCCCAGGTGCTGCAGGATGGCTCGGACCTGCAGCAGGGCCAGGCAGTCGCTGGGGCGAGAGGGAGACAGTGGGTGGTCAGTCGGGCAGCAAGAGGGCTGGTGGCCCACCACTCCAGGGCCTGGCGCCTTCATCAGGACAGGCTCCATGGGCTCCGGCCTCCAGGAGCTGACCCTGGGAGGTGGCTCCCATGCCTAAACTCAGACCAGCACTCAACCCACTGGACTGGACTGACTCTTCCTGAGCGTGACAGGAATGCAAAGAAATATCTCCCCACATAAGGTAGGGCACTGCCACCACAAAATGCACATTCAGAAGGAAATTCACTGTGTATTCCACTCATTTGGAAATAATAATGACAGTGACAGTTACAGTTTCCAGTTACAAAGCTCTTTCCTGTCCATTCTCTCACTATTGTTCACCGGTCCACAAGACAAGTGCTAATCAAGCAGCATTGAATCCTATTCTATTTCTATTCTGCCACCCTGGGTGGTCTGAACCCTACTTGTGTGTTATTTATGAAACAAATGTAAATAAAATTGTAAGAAGAAAATAAACCCTGTTATATAAAGGGAACTATTTTAGAAGTCTAGAATGATCTCCTTGCACACAAACAGATAGGCAAACTAGACCATATTCTTCCTATACACTGGTGCAGACGCCCGAGGGGCCCACCCATGCCAGTTGTCTAGTTCCTGTTCCACTATGCTCTGAGAGTAATGACACAGCATTAATTTTTAAAGGGCTTTGAAATTCACTGTTCTAGTTTGGAGCAGACTTTTTTGCCATTAGACTGGAGGAGGGAGGCTCTGCTCTAAAGAGTCGCCACATGGCATGTTTCTATACTGCCTGATGTTCCATCCTTCACTCAATCCTGGCTGCCTGCTTACTGCAGCCAGCAGTTAAGAAGGACCTTCAAGCCAAGTGTGGATGGTTTAATTATTCTGTGCATCTCAATTTACATCCTACAAGCAGGTATCTTTCTACCTTCGATATTTGGTCTAAATCCCAACAATATCACTTTGCATGGCTTCATGTCATGCTTAGCATGATCTTTCATGAGAATGTTATGTATTTTCCCTTCGAATGACAATTGTCCATAAGGTGCTTTAAGTAAACACTATAGACATGAATGTCTTAGCCACGAAACTGATCTTTGTATAAGCCACACCCTGATCTTGCTTGAGCTATGGAAATCCTTCAGTTTGACTGTCCATAAGAAAAAAGGAGGACATAGCCCTAAACTCTCACCTCTCAATCTGAGATAGGAACTTGGTTTCAAAGATTCCCCTTGTCTTGAGCCGCTCTGAGATACGGCCTCGGAAGAGCAGCCCACGCTTGGTAAAGTCGATGAGGATGTTCCGGACAATCTCGCCCAGATACATTCCACTGATCATCTTCTCAAACCTGAAATGAGGGTAACGTTCATGGAGGTTAAGTAGGGAGGTGGTGAGATATGCTGAGACAGGCCAGGCCAGCTTGGTCAGCCCTAGTGCATTAGGAAGTGGAGGGCACAAAGACTCCCCCTGGTGGGAAAGGAAATGCTGCTTGATTCCTGGTGTTGCTGCTCGCTGAGCCACCACCCTCAGCAAACTTGACCACGCTGCCCCAGGCCCACAGGGCCCCCCAGGACTGGCCACAATCATTGGACACAATCATTACTCAGGTAACTAGTGCCAACTGTAGAGCCCCTGACCTGGCCACTGGAACTAAACATGACTTTGCAGTGGCTTAAGGGTCTTTAGGCCCTGCATGGTGTCTTGAAAAGTCCAGGGTCCATAGTTTCATTCAAGACCCCATGGCCACCCCAACTTGTCTTGTCCCAGCCTGCTTCCTTTATTAATGTTGCCTGTCTTGAAGTGGAAAATCGGAGAATTCCACTACCGGGTTTCCTCCCTTGCAACCTTTCCCTGGGCTTCCTCCCCTGCAACTATCCCCCAAGAGCTGCCGCCCTCATAAATCACCTGTAGCAATTAGTGTACCAGGCCGTGAAGTAGCTTAGGACTCTGCCTCACTAAAGTTAACCTATTGTAACTGTGCCCCTCCTCCTTAGGCAAAGTGTATTAAAGCTTGCTATGCTCTTTGGTGCTCAGAATTTGGGGAGAGCAAATTCCCCTCTGAGTCTTACCGGCTGGCATGAAGTAAAACCTGTTTTTGCCAAATCTCCGTGTGCCACTCGGTCTATTCCTGGTCAGCTCTGCTGCAACGGTCTGACCCCTAGAGGCATTTTAGTTTGTGACCTCTAGTCTAGACAAATGTTTTGCAAAGTGTATTCTGCAGAACTAAGGCCCTTCATTAATCTAGTTAGGAAATACTACAAGCAATGTCTTCCTAATGGGAAGTCTGTTAGATCTTAAGCTGCTGTCTCTCAGCTCACACCCCCCCAACCCCCACAGTCCACAGGGCTCTGTGAAGCTGGGGCTGGCCCCTTGCTCAGGTCTGACAGTAGAGGGCGCCAGACGCCGGATGAAGGAGGAAGAGAGTTTTTTTTTTTTTTTTTTTTTTTTTTTTTTTTTTTTTTTTTTTTTTTTTTTTGCTCCTGTCTGCCTCACCCAAGCAATGCTGCTTAGCCTGGTAGCAGCAGGGGGTTCACCTTTCCATTTGTTTCCCCCTCACAGCCCCAGACCTAGGCTCTAGGACGCTCCGGCCTGTTCTCCCAGCCCTTGGCATGGGAGCTGCTTCTTATATTTACTAACTCAGAACTTTCCAGCGTATTTGACAAGAAACTCTTTCCAACGAAACCTCTTCTGTTAATAACACCTCCCAAGAACCAGCGTCCTGGGAGACGCTGCGGTAGCGGCTCCGCTCACTCGCCTCGGTCCAGTTCTGGGATGCCCGTGGCGGGCCCAGCGCGGTTCGGCGCCTACCTCTGCTTGCCGGAGTTGAGGGAAAGTTCGTCCACGGCCACATCAAATTCCGTGCGGAAGTCGTCGAGGCAGCCATTGTCCCCGAAGGCCCCCCACTCCATGTTGACGCACATCCGCCCCTCCTCTCCTTCCACCAGCTCCACGTTGCGCATCTCCTCCATGTAGCAGGCGTTGCTGCCCGTGCCTGCCAACACAGCACGCGGCCCGGCTCAGCACCGTGCGCCCCGCACCGAGCAAGGCGGTGCCTCCCCGCGGGAAGGCCGCTCGGGTCCTTACCAACGATGAGGCCCACTTCACAGTGAGGGTCTTCGTAGCCACAGGTCATCATAGTCCCGACCGTGTCGTTCACCACAGCAACCACATCCAGGTCAAACTCCTGAGAGGGCAGAAGCAGATGCCCAGTCCACAAGTGAGCCCCAGTGTCTTCCTTGCAGACATTTGCCAGGGAGATTTATGTGTATGTAAACCATGTGTCCTACGCATGGCTGATTCTCTCTTTTCATTTAGGTCCCGCTCAATGCCGCCTCCTCAGGAGCCCTTGCCCGGCTGTGCTATGTAAGAGCCGCCCCCCTTTCCACACACTCTATCCACCCTCCTCGCCCAGCTCCATTTCTCTGCATAGCCCTTAGGTCATAGGCTAATTTGTTTATGGAACAAGACTTTGTTGTGGTCACTCCTGAACCCCCCGTGCTGAAAGCAGGCTTGACACACAGGGGACACTCAACAATTGCTGAATGACTGATCTTCCCCCCACCCAATGCAGCTGCAGTTACTGTGGATGCCACTTTCTGAATGCCCAGACCCCGTGAGGCACCAGGGAGTTGACACATCAGGCCTCGTGCCACAGCTCGCCCACCTCTCGCCGGTGGATGGCTTCCTTCAGCAGGGTGACCACGTCCTCGCCCTCGCAGCCAGATGCCTTGAAGCCTTTTGTCCACTTGAGGAGGATACTCTGAAAATCACATATGAGCACAGAGAGGACATCAGAGAAGGGTGCCCGGGTCATTCCTGGGGGCCCGGCTGTGCTTCTAGCTCTCAACCTCACAGCTCAGACAGGTTCCCTGGAGTCACCAAAAATCTCACCCACAAATCAGTTTAGTGTTTCTAAGGTCCTTGCCTGGATTTATCGAGCAGCCACTGTGCACTGGGTACTGGGCTGAGCACAGCCCATGTGTTACAGCATTTAATCCTCACAGCACCTGTGGGATATTTATCACTATCACGCTTGCTTTATAGGAAACTAAGGCTCTGGAGTAACCTGGCCAAGGCCTACAGCTGGGACGAGAGAAGCAGGACTCACCCTCAGGTCACTGACCTAATGAATGGGCTCATCAGCACCATGAAACCGCCCCGCTGGGTGACTTATTTCTATATGCTGAGCTTCCCCACTGGGCCAGGCAGTTTGCCTGGTCCCTGTTCTTCATTTGCAGCAGAAGGGTCAGTGTGTGTCTCTTAATTATCAAACTCCGGTATCCAGTGAATAAGTGCCCTGGCCCATAGCTGGGGTGACAGCTAGGCTTCACCCCCACCTGTGTTCCTCAGGGGGTAAGCACCCCAGGCTCCTCCCTGGAGTCCTCTGTGGGCCCCCGTCTTTAACGTGGCCCTTAACCACGCCCCGGGGCCCTCTGGGAGCAGACACACAATGGCTTTGAACGTGGGAGAGATGTTTTGGGTTATTCCCTGGCGCCCTCCCTATTGCCATAGCCCATTAGGAAATGAGTGTCAGGACTCCCAGGTCCCTCACCCAGGAGGTCAGCCTCCATCAGTGGGCTGTGTGCTCACTACCGCCCACTGGCATGGCTTCTCCGGGCCTTGCTTGGTGGCTCATGCCCATCAGCCTGGCGTTTCATTCACATCAACCTGGATGTCTCATGCTATGTTGAGATCCCAGGAGAGTCAGAAGAACACGTCCCCTCGGAGTGCTGGTTTACACGCCCACAGCCAGGCAAGTGTGTGCGTATCTGCTCCCATCCCTCTTGTCTGCATGTCAGCTTCACATCTCTGACAAAATTTTGTATTTGGCAATTTAAAGTTTACAGAATGTTCATATAACATTATTTCAGGTGATCCTAAATGATAAGACAAGCAGGGGCCCCTGTGGCTGGGGAGACGTACCCAGGGCCAGCAGCTAGTCACCACAGCTGAGGCCTCCGGGCCCTCCTCTGCACCTGCGGATTTCCCCATGGACAGGATGAGCACACCGAAGCCAACAGACAGAACTGTCTTTGCTTTATTTCCTCTTAATTTTTATGATTCTAGACTTAACACATGCTCCTTAGAAATACTTGGAACACACAGAATAAAATCTAAAACAATGACCTGGAATACTACAATTCAGAGACAACAATTAATCTGACTTCTAGTTTACCTGGTAAATATAGAAATAAAGATATATACATGTTGGCATGAAAAATAAGATGGTGTTTTTTTTAAAAAATATTTTAGTAGGAAGTCTGGAAGGGCGGACAGACTGGAGTGTTATATTTTTATATTCCTATTAATCATATTATTATATTTTTCTATATTGCAGAGAGATTACAATTTTTTTTCACCAGCCATGTGTATGGAAGACAAATTACAATTTTTAAAGAACGATACTTTTAAAATTTTTTAGTCATACTACCAATATTTTCCCATGTGATTGAAATTTCTTCCAAATAACTAGTAGCTGATACTGGGCAATAAATGGCTCATAATTTACTTAACTATTACCTAACTATTAAACAAGTTTGTTTCTAACATCTTTGCTATAGTAAGTAATGTTCTATTAAATATTACATAAATGTTTATCCACATTTGATAATACCCTTTGCCAAATTGATGCAAATGCAAAAATCTAATGCATTAACACTCCAAAAAATGTGTTGGAGAAAGGAATTGGAAAAGCTTAAAGCGATGCTGGACCAGTGAGCACCGGACCGGTGTTAGTAGGTATTGGGAAATACCAGACTAAGTGGGGCTTTTACTGCAGGACTTCTTAAAAGCTTAATTATACTGGTGGGAAACTGAACTCTCAGAGGGGGAGGAGCAGGAGGCATTTACGCAGCTCAGTGGGACAACTCAAGGGTTGGTGTTCCAGGGACCCAGTGGGAAATGCTGGCTTTTCCCCATCACTGGGGTGGGCTCCTCTGTTCTGTCCTGGCCCTTCCTGTGACTTGTTCCCACCTACACGCCCTTCTCCACACTGGCCAGGACTGCCTGCCTTTCTTCACCATCAGCTCCTTCTTCTGCCTTGTTCCAAGTATTCCTCACATCCTCCAGGTATGAGCTTAGACTAACATCTCACTGCGTGTCCTAGGGGCTTCAGTCCCTCATTGGTGCCACGTCCCAAACAGCAGCTCTTACTTTTCTGAGCTTGCTTCAGCAGCTTAGACATTTGTAAGCATCTAAGGCAGGAACCATGCCTTTTGTACCTGGCAACTGCATCCACAGCATACTACACACCTGCAGCGTGTATGTGTGCGTCTACATGACCGAGACATGGAGATACAACTGCTTAAACAACAGTATTCTGGTATCTAACACAGACGGCACACCCACCATCAGCCCAGATCCAAGCACTGCCTGCTCAGTTCTCCACTTCTCAGGGCACTCATGTCCAGAATGCCCAGGAGGGCCAAATCTCCACCCTCCCCTGCTTCATTCATCCAAGGCAAGTTGCAGGGGGTGAGATCAGAGAAGAGCCAGGGCATCCAGACAACAGGAGATGAAGTAAAAATGCCCCAAGCCCATGACAAGGCACAGCACAACTGAGAGCACAGGCTCAAGCATCGGGAAACCGAATTCAAATCATGGCTTGGCCACTTGCAAGCTGTATGACCTGGAGCAAGATACCCAGCACCTCTGTAGACCTCACTTTCCTTTATGCAAAATGGATGTACAAACACCTATCTTACGTGGTTGCTGTGAGGGTTAAATTTGATAATGCACATAGGAAGCCCGATGTAGTACCTGGCATTAAGTAAGTGCTTAAAAAAACTGTCAGTTGTCAATATTTTGAGTAGCACCATCATCACCATCCCAAGGACTGTTACAGCCGAGCTAACCTCCTTAACCACCACCAGCTCTGACTCAGTCACTCCCATCAAGGGTCCCCTCCCCGCCGCTGGTCACTCATGCCCTTCTTTCCCTAGTCTCCGCTCAGCTCTCTCCCCTCCTCCACACTTGGCTGGTTTACAGTCAACAGCCCACAGCAGAGCCCTGCAGAAAGGGCTGTTACCTCGTCCAAGCTGTTCTGCTGGCAGGGGAAGGAGAAGGTAAAACCCAGTGGCAGGGACACACCCTTCATGCCCATGTACTCGAGGAAGTCGGCGATGCACTGGACGATGTGGTCGAACAGCTGCAGGGAGAAGTCGGGCACTGAAGGGGGGCCTGGCCGGGGCAGGCTGCCCCGAGCAGAGCCTGAACGAGCTCAAGCTTCCACCCAGAAGAAATGCAAATTCAGGCACAAGCCTGCGTAAAGACCAGGCTGGGGCCTTGGGCCCACCTAGCCCTCCCCGAAGTCTCAGGTGAGCAGAGAAAGCACTGTTCCCGAAGGCAAGAAGGGACTGGGAGCCCGCCCGGAGGTGCCACCTGCCTCACCTCGTCCCCAGTGCCATGCATGACCTCCTGCGGGATGGAGTAGATCTTGTTGTGCATCTCGACTCCGCCCCACTTCCCGTTCCGCACGCGCACCAGCAGGACCCGGAAATTGGTTCCTCCAAGGTCCAAGGCCAGGAAGTCCCCTTTCTCTGGAAAATAAGCCCAGAAAGGTGATAAGCTGGGGCACCACCACCTCACCACAGCAAAGAGGGACAGAGTCTAAGCACCTTCCCCTACATGGGGCTCTCCCTGGAGCCCCTGACAGGCTGGCTCCTTTGTGCTTCTCAAGTGGGGGGTCTCAGAAGTCACAAAGAGCTCCGAAGGATATGGGGAATGCTGACACAGTACACTGAAAAAACTATCCAAACTCACCATTCATCCAAAATCAAAAGCCACCTTAGATTAGATTCTAGAATAGAGAAGTAACAGCAGAGTCCAGCTCTCTGAAGGAAACTGAAGAAAAATCTTTTACAATGAGAACCCCTCATCCAACCCTTAGGCTGCCCTGTGAGGAAGGCATTTCATTGTCCTCTTATGGATGACTGAGGGCAGGCTGAGCGAGGTTAAGTCACTTGCCCAAGCCATACAACCAGAGCAGGGCACAGCAGGCACCAAATCCCAGTCTGTCTCTGGAACCTGTGCCAACTGTGCTGGCCTTGCCTGCTCATCAACTGTCTTCTCTGATGGAGAAAAGACCATGTAAGTTTTAGGTTGCAAGACTTACACCAGGGGTCAGAAACCTTTTTCTGTAAGGCTCAGACAGCAAACATACAGTTTCTGCTGCACCTGCTAAACTTCACCATGGTTGTGCAAAGCAGCCGTAAACAATGTGCAGACAATGGGCATGGCTGTGTACTAATAAAGCTTTATGTACAAAAAAAGGTGGTGGGCCAGATTTGGCCCGTGGGCTAGAGTTTGCCGACCCCCACCCAAACCAATGTGGTTGTTGTGAGAAAAGGTTCTAGAACCTGAATTTCTGGGTTTGAACTCCAGCTCCAACATTTTCTATCTGTGTGAACTCGGGCAGGTTTCTTAACATCTTTGCGCCTCAGTTTTCTGCCAAACATAGCAGTTTGTTAATAAACAAAGTTAATTACTAATCATTTTAAATAATGATTAAATGAATTAATACACATAAAGTGCTTTCACACATAGTAAGCAATCAATAAATATGGACTATTGTTACTGTTCGATTCTAGCAGAGGAATGCCTTGGTCGAGCTTATTGAACTCTAGAATTCCCTAGCAATACAGCTGAAGAAACGTTTTGGTTCAAATGGCCAATGCCTAGGCTAAGGGAGACTCCCTGGGGCATCAAGAGCAGGATAGAGGCCCACTGTGTGAGCCGGGGGTGACCCTGCACGTACCTGTGCCATCAGGGGTGGCACACACGTAGGTGGGCAGCATCTTGACGGGGGCAATGGCGTGCGTCTCCTTGCTCAGACCTCGCTCCATTTCTAGCTTCATCCTCCTCTTGACCTCCAGGAGCTGCTCATGGCTCAGCTTCAGAGGCTCGAGGGTGTTTTGGCGGGCTCGGTGCTGGTCGGCTAACCGGTAAGCCACTGCCGTCACCATGGCTGCGCCCTTGCCACTGCCGTCCTCAGAGCGGAGGAAGCGGACATCGCAGTCAGGCACCAGCCGCCGCACAGCCTTGTGAAGACGCTTGGCGAAACTGCAGCCGCCCAGATGGGGTAAGAGACGGGTGTCCATGGTTAGGGTCAGTGGTGCAAAGGGTGGGACAGCAGATCACCACCTCAGCCCAAGCGCCAGGAGGCACCTGCAGGAGCAGATGGTGCCCTGAACCTCCTCTCCTCTCTCTTTCCCAAGTTAGGAGTCACCATGAAAACTCAGATATTCAACTGTCACCTCCGCCACCGGGCTGGGCCCACTGACAGAAAAGGACCCCTTCTAACAAGCCACTGTCCTCTGCATGCAGTCCCACAGCCCCCAGCTCCCCTGCTCTTCATGGTACCATCAGCCTCTTGGGAGCAGCCCAGTGGAATCCAGTGATTCCAACACCACCCACTTTTCTCGTTCCATCACTTCACTAGATACTGTCCTGGGAAAGACCCAAAACAGAAAAACCAGAAATGCTCTTCTCCTGGACTTTGGCCTCTCTGTCACAAGTTTCTGCCAATGATATCAAAGGTGTCCGAACAGCTAAAGACAATGGTTCTGTCCAGCAAGAAACTTTCCAGACGGCAGCCACTTTTAGACGTGGTCTCCGGGCCTCACCACTCCATGTGCAGTCTGAGGGCCGAAAGCCTCCCTGAGGGCTGTCAGAGATGCAAGATCTCAGGCTCACCCCAGACATTCTGAATCAGCATCTTCCTCTTAGCAAGGTCCCCAGGTGATTTGTGTGCACATTAAAGTTTTTAAGGCCAGCAAGGTGGCTCATGCCTGTAATCCTAGCACTACTGGAAGCCAAGGCTTCAAGTGATCCAGTAGGATCACTTGAGCTCAGGGTTCGAGGCCATTCTGAACAAGAATGAGACCCCGCCTCTACTAAAAATAGAAAAATTAGCTGGGAGTGGTGGTGTGTGCCTGTAGTCCCAGCTACTCGGGAGGCTGAGGCAGGAGGATCGCTTGAGCTCAGGAGTTTGAGATTGCAGTGAGCTATGATGATGCCACTGCACTCTACCCAGGAAAAAAAAAAAAGTGTTTGAGGCACTGGGCTAGGATTAGGAAATCTCAGGGCTGAGGCCTTCTGCACCAAGCAATTAAGTTAATGAAGGCACAGTGACCTGGCATTCATATGGGGAAATACGTGGGCACACTAGAGAGATGTCTTCCAGGTCCCAGTTTGAACATTTGGGTACATATGACCCAAGGGATCAAAATGTGGACAGGGCAGGATCAATTTAGTACCAAAGTCAGCCAGAGAGGCCGGTCACCCACTGGGCTGGAGTGGCCCCTGGCAGAGGACACAGCACCTGCAGGAACCGCCAAGAATCACGACAGAGTGAAGAGAGGAACACTAGCTCATATAAAAGAGGGGGGCGAAAAGAGCGCCCAGCAGCCAGCGGAGCTCTGAGGAGAGTCCGAGTCGTCAGTTGCCTTTGGAAGTCACCTCCACCGGCGGCGGTGGGAGTGACACCCTCCCACTTGCCACTTTGACCAGGTGGACTTTTACTTTACCAGGATCCTCAACTCCATGGTCTATCCACATCAGCCCTGAAATGCAAAACAGAGCTGGCCCACGGGGCCAGGTCCTCGGGTGCTCTGGGAGCCCCAACAGCCCCGGGCCTGGACACCGACTCACTGGGGGTGTTTCTTGTAGACGGAGCCATCGACCCCGATGGTGGAGCGAAGCCGATCGTCACCCTTGTTCTCCTTGATGCGCCGCAGCACGGCGGCCAGCGTGGCCGCGCACAGGCTGGCTGAGCGTGTGGACACGATCTGGCAGATGCGGTGAGTGGCCACGCAGTCCTCCTGCGTCGGGTCCAGGCCCAGCCGCACAAGGACCTCGCGGGCCTTCCGGATGCCATCTTTCTCCCTGGGAAACAGAAAGATGGCACATGAGAATGTGTCTAACTTGCTGCGGCCCAGGGCGGAGGCAGCAAGGAAACGCCTCAGCTCCAGCCGACTCCATCCCCCAGCAGGGAGCAGAATCCCTCTCCACTGCTCACTTGCCCGTTGGGGCAGAACAAGGAGGGGGAAGGGCAAAACACAACACAGCCACCCCCACACACACACAGAGGCAGAGCTGCCCTGCCTCACCCCCCCAGGTGCCCCTTTTTCCTGATGAGAAAAACTAGCATTTCTTGTGCATGTGCCATGTAAAGACAAGGCCCTCTTCTTGGTGCTTTACACACTGAGGGGTGTGTGTGTGTGTGTGTGTGTGTGTATGTGTGTGTGTGTGTGTGTGTTGGTGCTACATTTGCTTGTCTTAGGGTAGACAGTGTCTCTGCCCTTGGTGACCTCTCACATGTGCACCAGCTGTGGCACCACCGGTCTCCTCTCCCTAAAGCACGTCCATTGCATTTCACCATGGAGTTGGCGCTGCTCTAGCTTATGTCTAAAGGAGGCGGTAAAGGGCTGGTGCTGTGACACCCGCACCCTTCTCAGGGGAACTAAATGCCTCACAAACAGGAGCACTTCTATCACCTCGGGGTTTAACAAGAAGTAGGCACAGCTCCTTCGAGAGTTTTCACTTAAAACAAAGTCATATAAACTGTTTCACTGTTCCTTTTGGCAACAAAATCACCTCCTCTCCACCATCGGGTCCCCAAAACAACAGAGACTCCTCAACCTACAAGCAGACATCTCAAGAACAGCAAACGAGACCCAACTCTTGGGATACTGTTAATTGAAAAACAAAGTCAGGCCCTTCTCACTCCCACTCCTGCCAGGCTGGGAAAATGCAGGCCGTGGCTCTACATGCTAGAGCTAAGTGGGTAGGTATTTCTCCAGACAATCCAAGGACCTATCTTTCTGCTATGAAGCAGGGGCCAGGACAGAGATCTTTTTGAGAATCGGCAACAGGGGATGATATATCAGAGCTCTAGGAGAAGGGAAAGGAGGCAGACGCAAATGAGTCATTCCAGGGCCCTCTGAGAGCCTCCAGCCCTGAACTCAATGTCGTGGTCCAGTGTCATGGCTCAGGTCCCTGCATGTGGAGGGCAACTGTTCCCAGCACCGGGGGGCACGGTGGTAGTAATCACGTTCAAAGTCAACAGGAATGGAGACTGGTAAGTGACATGAAGCCACAAGCCCACCATGGTCCACACTATGCAAGACCCTCTTGCAGTCTACACTCAAAGGGTAGAACACCAGTGCCGCTTCCTCATTCCCCAAATACCTACCTGTCTACCCTGTGGAGACCCAGTGACTAGAGACGTCGCAGGGCTGGACACTCACCCTTCGATGTCTGAAATGTCCTTAGTCTCAAAACGACCCGTGGTGAGGAGTTCCGGGCTGAGCTTCCCGCCAAAGAGTAGCTCCTCCCTGGCCATCTTCACCAGGATGAGCCGCACCAGCTCCCCCATGTACATCCCACTGATCATCTTCTCAAACCTGCAGGGAGACACAGACCAGGGATATAAGCTCCCACGGTCCCTGAACTCACAGCTCTCCTGCAGAGGAAAGATACACACACACAGGAAACTTCAACATACTTTAGTGGTTGGTGTATAACAAAGGGTTAACTCTTCCATCACCAGGAATGAGAGTGGGGAGAAGTGACAGCTCAAAGGGGCTGGAGGAGCTGGGGGGCTTGGGTTGTCCCTGCAAGCTGGTGAGCCCTGAACCATGGAGAAGAATGGTTTTTAAGCAGCCCAATGAAACATTCAGGGAGTATGGAACATTCTGGAATAGCCTGAGTTTTAGGTAAAGTAAGTTATGCATAGGGTAGTGATTTTTGAAATCCTTCTCTAGCAAAGAAATGCTTTTAAAAAATAAAATCTTACATAGAGTACCAATATTTATTTACCAAAGAAAAAGTCAATCTCATGAAACGTGGAGCACAGGCCTAGCAATTCATCAACTCACACGGCCGGCCCCTGCAGGCCACCTGTCGATTCCAGAGAAAATCGGTGTGAAGACAACCTGGGGCAAGGGGTTGCGGGGACAAGATTAGAAGGGCAGGTGAGGACACGTGAGTTGGAGCTCAGCTCTGAACTCTAAATGTCAGGTCTCGGGAATCTGGGAGTGAAACACACTTCTGAGCAGGCAGGTGATAAGACAAAGGCATGTCTTAGAAAGGCAGAGGCCGGCCCCCAAGCTGAGAGGGCAGTCAGGTAATTTAACTTCTCAACACTAGGTGGTACTGTTTTCCTTAGAAATTGGTCTTTCTGGCTAGGACTATGTGACAGAGGAAACCAAGCCCAGCAATTGTTTTTGGCAAAAAAGGCCCATTTCTGGGTATCTCAGAAAGGATCTAGGTCTTAAAGAGAGAAGGGCACCCATGTGTGCCAGTACTAACTAGGATGGGCTACAGCCAGGAGGAGGCCCGGAGCAGAGGTGCGAAAGGGATTCCAACGTCACCTACCAGGCAGGAGCCCAGGCCCTCAGGAAGTGACTTGCTCAAGCCCCAAGGCCAGGTAAGGCAGAATCAGAGGTAAGTGAGAGCTGGCAAAACTGCTAAGAGCACAGGGTTAATGCACTCACACAGGCACAAAGCCTGCCTGGCGGCCTGGCTTCAACAGGGAGGAACTCTGCTGTCTCTGACATCTTCTCCCGCACAGCTGGTTCTATGGCAGGTGGGGGGCGTGGCCCAGGGCCATGGGGCTCCACAGTGTGGGTGGGTTTTTTAATAAGTTTTTATTCCAGTTTTAAAAATACTTTGTTCCAGTCAAATTTAGAAGATATTTACTTAGAAACATATTAGAGAGGAAAAAGGTTGTCTATAATGACTTCAGGGCTACCATGGCCAACAATTTGGTGTATGTCCTCCCAGCCTTTGTCTTGTCTAAGGCTAAGCTAAGCCAGGGGTGTGTTGTCATGGCCTGGCTGGTAAATTTGTCTTTTGACACTTCAAAGGACATATGGTTCCTCAGAATGACTTGGGCGTGCCTCATTAATGGAAGCAGACATTGAGTGAATGATTTTTCAGTTCATAAACCTCTCAGCACCCATGGCAGATACAACCAGCATGTTCCTAGGAAAGTTCAAGAAAGGACGCACGTTTCATGTGAGAGAGCTTGTGACTTACATAAATAAACCGTGCTTTGAGAAAGCAAGGACCCGCCCGTAAAGAAAAAGGCTACCCACCACTGAGCTGGTTTATAGGGTTAGAGTTTCCTCTCAAGTAGAGATCTGCACTAAAAGCTGTCCTAAAACAACCATAGCAACAAGACCAGAGAAATACTGTGTTGCTCAAAATATTTTGCAACTGCCTTCAGAGCTTGCAGCAATCTCTATTTCAAGATCTTTAACAGGGACATTTGATAAATGTTTGTAAGGGTGAAATAATGTTTTGTAAGAGGAAAAGTAACTAAAAACTAAGTCTAGCCAGGCTGGCGCATATAGCATTCAGGGTCCAAAACACCGAAGCCCCTCCTCTAATCTACCCAAGGACGTGCTGGGCCACAAGTCCAGGAAGGAGGCCAAGAAAGCTCCTTAGCCAGATTTTCCATGGGCCATGGGTCTGCCTGCAGCTGGGGCAGAAGGCCCTAGGGCCCTGTGGGCCAGTAATGAGCAGCCGGCTGTCATGGCCTGTCCTCTGGGCAGCGATGGAGTGGGAGCTACAAAAGGAGCTTTCAGAGACCCTAATCTTGGCCATCTCGACACAGCTTTTCTTACACGGCTCACAGTTTCTATGGGCAATTCACAAATAGAAGGTGGCAAGAAAGAGCAAGGACTTAGACTCAGAATAGGAAATTCCAAAATGACTGCTTTGAAGGACATAGCCACATTATTAGTTACAATCTGGTGTATCCACCAGCTCTGTTTTAGAGCCCTCTCAGCAACTCACAGTCACAAATATTCCCGTAACCAACCAGCGGGCACCTTGGCAACCCTTTGGGGATGTAAGACTGTAAAGACACCACCTTTGGCCCTGGCCAACCCCAACCCCAGCTCCTGAGCCCACCCCCAAGCCCACCCGCACAGCAAGGGGCCACTCACAGCTGCTTCCCAGGGTTCAGCGACCCCATGTCGATCTCCCGGTCAAACTCAGTGCGGATGTCGTTGAGCGCACCGTCGTCCCCAAAGGCCCCCCACTCCATGTTGACGCACATGCGCCCCTCGTCGCCCTCCACCATGTCGATGTGGCGCATCTCCTCCATGTAGCAGGCGTTGCTGCCTGTGCCTGACCAAGGCAAGGGAGTGTTCAGCACTCCTGTCTCCCCAGACGCCACTGCCCTGAGACTGCCCAGGGTGGCTGGGATTCCTCACTGCAAACTCCTCGCAATCCCGATACATGGGCCAATCCTCTACCACCCCCAGCTCCATGAGGCCTGGCTCAGTGCTCCAGAGTGACTGCACCATTATGCTAGAATATGAAGGACAAAGGGACACCCAGCCGTGGTCCCCTTCTTCCTTTCCAGCCCACACACCCACGCACTGGCCAGTACCAGCCCTCGTGCTGGGCGTTCACTCACCCACAATGAGACCAATTTCACAGTTGTGGTCATCATAACCACAGGTCATCATGGTCCCAACAGTGTCGTTCACCACGGCCACGATGTCAATATCAAAGTCCTGTGGGGATGACAAAGCGGGCTCTGATCTTCATCGTCAAAGAAGGGTGACAGATGTGAAGATGGAGAAAAGGCAGCAAGACACACAGGTCGAGTGCAACAGCCCCTTTACTAACCCAACTCGGAGCCCAGGAGGGTTAGAACTAGGAATCTAGCCTAGAACCAGACAAACAGTGGCACCTCCCTGACACTGGCTGTGCTCCGCTGCTCATCTTCCTTCACCTCCCCCTCCCTCTCCTCCTCCTTCTCTTTCCCCCCTCCCCCCGCCATAACTCCTCCAAGATAAGATCTTTGTCTTGTCCTCTTTCTGCCCCATTCCACCCTCATGTCAACATCATTCCAACTTTCTTACTTGAACATGATATTCAAGTCTTCTTCAGGTTAAGCACTAAAGAGGTTTTTTTGCACCAAAGCTAAGATTATTTATCCATCGCGATAATCTAAAAACCCCAAACCTGTTCATGTGAGCATGGCAGGGAAAAGGAAAGAAAACCTCTCCTTAAGCTCCACAAAAGCTTCTCCTGCTGAGTCAAGGACAGACAGGGCAAGACTTCAGACCCCAGGCTCCTGCCACCCCACTTACCCCTCTCCGCTGAATGGCCTTGCGGATCAGTGCCACGACATCTCTGCCTTCCACTCCACTGGACTTGAACCCCTTCGTCCAGGAGACCAGAAAACTCTAGAAAAGGACCAAGGAACGAATATTGATTTCCCACAACTAAAATTTAGACCACACTCCTCAAACAGCCAGCATTAGCAGAGATCTCTGCTGCTGGGCCACCCTGGAGTCATGACTGAATTTGGGTATTGCTTCCTGACTAGCCCAGGAAGGAGGAACTTGGGCCCATCAAAGACCAGGAAAGGAGATTAAGTGAATGATTCCTTCAAAGATGTATTGCTGCCAAGAAGTGGAATGAGGAGGCTATAAAAGTGCCAAAATAAGACACTGTCATTTGCAGCGTAACAACGCTCGGTCAGTGACACCCTACATATATGACAGTGGTCCCAGAAGATCATGATGGAGCTGAAAAATTCCTATTGCCCAGTGATGTCACAGCTGCTATAATACTGTAGCATAGTGCATTACCTTTTCTATGTTCAGATAACTGGACCTGCCCTCATGGCATTACCAAAAGGAGTAAAAGAGTCAATACATATAAGGGCTTAACATTAATTAGTACTCATCAAATGTGGTTTTCCACTTAGACCATTTACTCATTTACCCGCTGTCAAAATAACCCTGCAAGGAAGGGGAAATCATGGCCAACGTTAATCAGAAAGTCATCGCATGCCCTGGGTACAGAACATCCTTTGGTGGCCCTGTCGGAACCCTGCTGACAAGGATGCCCGGCTGATTATCTTACCAGAAAGGACAGCCCATTTCACTGCCAAGAAGTATTTAAGCATCCCTGTCTCTTGTGGTTGGGGGAGGGGGTAGGACATTCTCTGTTGGCATTCTATGCACCGACTTCACAAATATTTACCATTGCATTACAATTACCTACAGTACTCAGTTCAGGTTTGCAGCCCAGGACCATACGCTATACCACACAGCCTAGGCCTGTAGTGAGCTATACCATCTACGTTTGTGTAAGTACACTCTGACGTTCACACGATGACCAAATAGCCCAGTGACCCAAGTCTCAGAACATATCCTCATCGTTAAGCCACGCATGACTACACTTATATCCTCACATCATTAATTCCCCAACCATATCCCTTCCATTTTATCCTAACACCTTAGATCAGGAGAGTGCCTGATCTTTCATTCCTGTTTCTCTGGATAAGGACACTGTGCAATATGTGTGGATGGGAGGGTAAGGAAGAGCACCCCCCCTTCTCTGACACTTCTTCACTGTCCCCCACACCCACACCCCCCACGCACACACACAGCCCTGCAGAAGAACAGAGCCTCATCTGCACAACCGCTCAGAGCCGCCGCCCACCCCACAGCAGGTGGCTCAGAGTCCTTCCCAGTGTTCCCAGGCCTAAGAGTGAAGCGAGAAAAGTGTCCGAAGAACCCATCTTACCTCGTCTAGTTTAGTCTGGTGGCAGGGGAACGAGAAGGTGAAACCCAATGGGAGCTTCTTCTCTTTGATCTGCAGCTTCTCCATGAAGTTAGCCAGGCATTCGGCAATGTGGTCAAATAACTAAGGGCGCACGACACAGGAAGAGGAGCAGAGAGGGGATTAGAGCATGGACTTCTGGCTCTGAAAGTAACCAGTTCAGTGTATGCAAAATCCATCTCTCCTCTGCAGTCTCCACTGGCTCATCTACAAAATGGGAATGATAACTGGACCTGCCCTCATGGCGTTACCAAAAGGAGTAAAAGAGTCAATACATATAAGGGCTTAACATTAATTAGTACTCATCAAATGTGGTTTTCCACTTAGACCATTTACTCATTTACCCGCTGTCAAAATAACCCTGCAAGGAAGGGGAAATCATGGCCAACGTTAATCAGAAAGTCATCGCATGCCCTGGGAACAGAACATCCTTTGATGGCCCTTCGGAACCCTGCTGACAAGGATGCCCGGCTGATTATCCTACCAGAAAGGACAGCCCATTTCACTGCCAAGAAGTATTTTAGCATCCCTGTCTCTTGTGGTTGGGGGAGGGGGTAGGACGTTCTCTGTTGGCATTCTATGAACCGACTTCACAAAAATAAGTAACTTTTATATTTTTTTCTCCGTTCTAGAAAGCTAATCTCCTGGGGGCAATTCAAAGAAGTTATCTTTGTTTTCTGACTTCAGAACAGAACACCCAGTGAGTCCATGAAGAGCACTAAAGAATAAATAGAGTTTTGTGGGTGGGCAGCCTCCCAACCATGACCATGCTGAGCAGGTCACGAGCAGCTCCCGAGCCTTAGAAAGACTGTATTCAGGACAAGCCAGGCTTCCCACCAGCCCCGACGCCCACCACCTCCTGGCTTCCTTCTTGCCCCCTCAGTACCCTCAAAGAGAAGGTGGTGACCCTCCGGCTGCTTAAGGGCTGAGGCCATGGGCATTACGGCGCAAAAAGTAAGTGGAGGCCAAACAGGCTGGGCAGATTCCAAGGGCCAGGTTGACCAGGTGGCAAAATCTAAAAGCCAAGGTGGGTGTGAGAGGACAATTCTCATTTTCGTTTCCAGGAAGAAGGAAGATTCCACTAAACCACAGGTTCCCACAATGTGGTCCTAGAGCAGCAGCATCACCACCATCACCGGGAACATGTTAGAAGTGCACATCCCGGGGCCCCACCCTAGACCTACTGCGGCATAAACTTGGGGTGGGGGAGTTGCAATCCCTTAGCAAGACATTGGATTGAAAACCACAGCACTAACCCACAAAAAGTATTTGCATTTACAAAGGAACTGAGAGGTCGGGGCATGGAGGATGATGGGCTTATTGGCTCCCCTGATGCCCTGGGGTATGGTCCGGAGGAGGGACCAAGGAAGACAAGGCCACTCCAGTCAGGAAGGTGGCTGACTCTCACTGAACTTCGTGCATCGATTCTGTCCCCTGCCTGATCCCATGCAAAGTCACCCACAGCTGATGCTGCAACTTTGACCTCTAAACCAAACCATAACGGCTAGGATAGACAAGGCTCTACCACCTTGGGGATCACTAAGGCACATGAGCCAACTCCCTTGAGTAGAAGTCAAGTATTTTAATATGTAAATAGGAAGATATTAAGCAAGCTCTGTTCTGTCAGGAAGTTGATCGAAGACAAAATTATATAATATGTATATTAAACAAATTCCCAGCACCTTCTTCCTGGTACGCCAGTCAAAAGGATCTTTAGTACAGATAGTATTTATCCAAAAAAAGGAAGTTGTAGAAGCTGTGCAAAGAGATAAGGTGAGTCATCAAAGATGGGGGAGGGGCCTTTAGAAGTTGGCAAAGCAAAATGGTTTCCCCTCACTCAGCCGTGAGCACTGCTCCCTTCCCAGTTACACTCCCAACAGGGGAGGCAGAGAAGAGGCATTAAATATTGCCCTGCCCAATTCAGTAGCCACTGGCCACCTGTGGCTATTTCAATTAATTACAATTTTTAAAAATTAAAAATTCAGTTCCTCAATCACACCAGCCATATTTCAAGTGCTCAATGCCACAGGTGGCCAGTGGCTACCATATTACACAGGGCAGATATAGAAAAGTTCCATCACTGCAGAAAGTTCCACTGGCCAGTGCTGGGTTCAAAGAACCTACACCTTATAGAAAGTGAGGAGACCATCTGCTACCTTGGATTGGAAGAGTATCTCCTTTTCTGTTTGCTGAGGACCCAAGGATAGGATGTTGAGAGAAAGAGCTTACACCTTCCTGTTATAAAAAGGCTCAAAGGGCGTCATTTTATGAAGTTAGAATGGTACCTTTTCCATATTGGTCTGCGAATCTGCTCTGAGAGTCTTCCCTTCCTACAACATACACTTTTAAAATCTTAAGTGGCTGCTAGTCAGGTTTGCATCACACTTCTCTTCAGTGGAAGCTGATGTGCCAGAAGACAGATTTCACCCAGGGACCCACTGCCCAGGTTCACAGTCCTTAAAGATCTTTGCAGTTTGGGGGTTGGTGTTTTGTTGCGTTTTGTTTGTTTTTTCTTAGAAACAAGGTCTCACTGTGTGGCCCAGGCTGGAGTGTAGTGGCTATTCACAGGCACACAAACATGGCACCCTACACACTAGAACTCCTGGCCTCAACAATCGTCACACCTCAGCCTCCTGAGTAGCTGGGACTACAAGCGCATGCCACTATGCCTGGCTTTGGTCTTGATTTTAACTAAATTGTATTTTAAAACCCACTTGTTTTTCTTTAATTAAAATATTGATACCTAATACCAAAAAAATGGAAAATATAGGAAAAATGACACCATTATTCCACCACTAAAAAAGCCACTGTGAACTTCCAGCCTTTCTTCTAAGTGTTTTCTGTTGCTTTTCAGGCATATTGTATTCTTTCCATTCCTTAGAGTCAAATAGACACCTATATTTTCTTCTAGTTTTCTTTCTGTTTCATTTTCATATAGCATTTTTTCCCATTTATTTAACATTTTTCTAATATCCCAATAGCTTTATTGTTTCTTCCAGCTGGGTCTCATAGTTGTTTTTTTGTTTAAATATGGACTAGAACATTTTGTTTACGTATTATATGGAGAATAGAAGTAATTTTCTTTATACCCTCTAACTAGGCAGTTTTGAGAGATTTTAAGGTAAGTTTTTCAAGCAAAACTTTACTCACATCTTGAATGTTTGAAATGGATTCTCTTTCTCGATTGGCAGAGACACACTTCATTGTCTGCAGGAACCCGAGCCCTCGCCAGGCTCTGGGGAGGACACGGCAAGGACTGCAAGGTCCCCGGGCCCTTCATGGTGTTGAGGTACGAACAACAGGCTACACAAATGGGATAAAAATGCACGCAGGGTCTTGTTCTCATAAGAAGCTTAAAAATCCACCTAACACATCATCATCATCACGTTGCAAGTCTTTTTCACCATCATAGCCAAACTTTAGGTACTTTTTTTGGTTTTGTCTTGTTTACTTGGTTCTCAAATATTTGTAATCTGGGGGGTGGAGCCAGTGGCGAGGGATAGAAGAAAAGGTGACCACATCCTCCATGATGGGCAACGATGCAATTGCCGACTTAAGTGCCGGCCACAGAAACTGAGAGCAGAGTAAGAAGATGCAAATTAGATAAACAGATTTCCCTGTGGAAAACAGCAAGAGTACTAGTTTACGAGCCAGGCATTGTACCGAGTACGGAACAGGCATCATCTCCTCTAATCTGCACCGCAATCTGGGTACCATCATCCCTCTCCACAGATCAATAAACTGAGAGTCTGTCCGGTGCCATCACTCGCCCGGAATCACACAGCCAGACTGCCCGAACACAAGGCCCAACCTCTTCAACACTGCAGCGTGGGACGGCCATGGGGTGGCGGCAGTAGAAGAGCCTCTGCCTTCTGTCTCCTGTCTGACACTACACTGGAGCCATGTCACAGCCTCAGGAGAGCTAACATGCCCACAGGCCCAGGGACCCAGCCTCCCTTTGCCAACCCCAGCATTAAAACAAGGAAAGCAGGTTTACCTCAGGGCCACCCCTTCCCAAGACAAATAAAGGGTCTAAAAATATCTCCCTCACGTGTTCTACTCATGGTCAGAAATTCCTGTCCCAGGAGGTGGCCTGGCGTGGTGGAAAGAACAGAAAGAACAGTGGACTAGGAGTCACAGGGCTCTGCCTCTTCCAAGCCCCAGGGCCCAAGGTGTGACAACACTGGAATCGCATCTTACCGGATTCTATTCTAGCATCTTACTGTTTCCCCTCCATTCACTCCTTTCATTCCTGAGCACGTGCTGGGTATGAAATACAGCAGGAGTAGCCCGAGCTCCAGCTGAGAGGGGTCCCTGTGGCTGTGCGAGTGTCAGAAAAGGGCCGTACCTGGGTGCCACTGCCTCGCATGATGTCCTCAGGGATGGCGTAGATCTGGTTCTCCATCTCGACCTTCTGGAGCCCATTGTCTGTTACTTTCACCCAAAGCACACGGAAGTTGGTCCCTCCAAGGTCCAGAGCCAGAAACTCTCCATGTTCTGCAGAGAAAGGAAGGGCCACTATTAGTTTCAGGAAAGACAAGAAGGTCAAACTGCTTCGGAGACCAACCAAGACTTAAAACCCTGGAACCTCCATGGACACTGGTCATCTGTGGCCCATGGGGTTTACCTATCTCTACACACATTTACATATTGTCTGATTTCCTTCGTAACAAGCACTTTTATGTTACTTTTCTAATTTACATCAATAATGAGACAGTTTTGCTTCCAACTTTGGGGCACTCACCCCCGACAAGAGCCAATTATCTCCTAAGTGCTTTTAGTCGTCCAGATCATTTCTTTCTATTTTTTAGTAGAGATGGGGTCTCGCTCTTGCTCAGGCTGGTCTCGAACTCCTGACCTTGAGCGATCCACCCACCTCGGCCTCCCAGAGTGCTAGGATTACAGGCATGAGCCACCGCGCCCGGCCCTCCTAAGTGCTTTTAGCAAGCCCCTGCCAAGCTCCTGGGGCCCAGCAAGGCCTGCACCAAGGGTCCATGCCTCAGTTTTGTTCCTCCTACCCCAAGAGCACCAAACTGCTACAAGCCTAAGGGTCCTGGGCCTTCTGCCAAATTATGATTCCAGTACAAAATTTATTTTCTAATGTTTGCATGCTACGATGGCAATGTCCTACAGCAAGATTAGAGGGTCCTGTCATGAGCGGAATGGGGTCCAACTGGCTATAAATTAGGAGGCCTAGCAAATAAGACAAGCAAGCGCCTTCCAAAAGGATCTCAGGCTCACTAGAATGCAAGACAGTGCTGACCCCGGGTGTGTAAGGCAGCAGTCGGGCCACTTGGACAAGGCACAAAGCCGTGAGGGAGCCAGAGAGGGGAAGAGGGAGACTCCAAAAAGGAGCCACAGACACAGATGGGCCAAGATCTTCATGTGTCACCAGGAAGGTACGGCTCCTTCCCTCCAGGAAATAGCAGTGTGGACAGGAAACATCCAGATTCTGGACAATAATACAGCCAGCTACAGGGAAGTACCCCATTGTGTGACACAGAATGAAAGTGCTGAAGAGGCGCAGAGCCCACAGCCAGGGCGGGGGGCCGGTGGGGCAGGCAAGGCGCACCCCACGCAGGCTTCCCGCTGGGCTCCCACTGCCCTGCCACGCGCCTTCTCTAGGGATAGAAGACAATTTCCTGGAGGGTTCACTTATTGACATGTTTGTCAACACTCAGCCCCTTTCCCATGGGAGACTGCCACTCAAGAAAGGCAGGATGGCTGGAGGGTCAGGGAAGTGCTCCAACTAAATGACCCAACAAGGTTTATTCTGTGCCCAGGTCCCCCCCACCCCCGCCCAGCACCTCTATTCAGCTTTTTGGCCCTGAAAAAAGCCACATCTTCCCAACTCCCTGAGACCACCAGCCGCAGTCCCTAGGGTCCACAGGGGAAACCTGGGGCAGACATCATCCAGCAGAGACGTCCACGCAACCAGCTGTTGGGGGCTGTGGCGGGTGGAGACTGGCTCTGGGCCTACATCAGAACCCCAGCCACATTTTAGTTCCTTAGCCTCAGAGCTTCGGAGCCTCAGCTGCCTCATCTCTAAAATGGGAATATCGTATCTCACTGGGTTGCCGTGAGGGGAAACATTAGACAACGTGCCTCAAGCACCCAGAACTGTACTGAGAACTCAGGACACACTCACTAAGTACTAGATATTTTCTCTCCAGGCTCTCAGCAAACACTTGAGTCTCCCCCGCCCATGATGGCAGAAAACCTGTCCAAGAAAAGCCATCATAGTCAGCTCCAGTGACTTCAGCATTCCTCCTCGGGGTACTGATTTTCCATCCTCTACCCGGTGACTGGAGGCAGTCCCGCCACTAGCTATAGCTGCCGGCTGGCAAGAGCAACGTCACCCCCGTCTGGTGTGATTCTGACCCTCCTCATGGCCAGGGGCAACTTTTCCAGACACTCCGTTCTGAGGCTTCCCTGGTAGTGGGACCTCAGCCAGATTCTAGGAAACGCTACGCGGTGGTTGTCATGAGGGATGAAAAGGAAATCAAAGATGAACTGCCTCATCAGCTCTCTGAAGTCCAGGACACACGCGATCCGCTGAATCAGTGGCCACCGGGGATTGAGGTGGCGAGGCTGCCCCTGGTTGGTCATCACCCGAGGCCAGCTGGACACACTGGACGGGCACAGCTCCATCAAGAATGGTGGCTTTGTAGTGTTTTCTGACGGACTGAAGGGAAACCACGAATAATAAAGTACTGCTGGTAATTCTGTTCCCAAGAAGGAACGTCATCCCTTGCTTTGCTTATAGGACTCCTCTGGAACAGATATTCCTCCAAAACCCTCCTCCACAAGCACACGTGACCACAAGTACCAAAACCATAGGCTGTACTCCTCAGTCCAGGATCTGGGGCAGGCCCAGCATGTGACTCCAGAAATCCTGAGGTGACCCCTCTGGGCAGTGGATGGATCCCCTCTCCCAATGCCTACCTCCATGGCACATCTGAGAGGCCCCCAGGGATCGCTGGACCTCAGAAACAGGTGGGCAGGCCTCGTTTCGAATTCCAGTTCAGCTGCTGCACTACCTGTGGGGTGTGGGCACATCATAGGGCTCTCTAAGCACGTCACCTCGCCTGTAGGTGCTTCTCTCAGAGGTTGGGAGGTGCACATGAAATATGGACTACGTTACATGTGAATGTATGGACACACAGGAAGCCATCAATAAACAGCTGCTGTCATTGTCACTATTGTTATCGTACCCTTGTGTGATTGTGTAGCTCCTCTCCTCAGCCACTCCAAACCATCCCCGCTGCTACCGGTGGCTCAAGATCTACCTCCACTGTGAACCTTTGGGACACTCCAGAAGCCCAGAGCAGAGTGCGTGTGAGTATGTGATGGGGCGTGAAGGACACATGCATCTATGGGCACGGGACGGTCAGACTGAACAGGGCAGGGAAAGGCTCTGGAGTGAGCAAACATGCCGATGGCGGGTCTTAGGAAAGTCCAAAGCCACACGGTAGAGGACCCTATAAGGTCCAGAGAGAACATTCTGTTGAGTGATTATAGTTAGTATTTGAGGCAAGTTAAGAAACCATCTCATATTGCATTTGTTCATTGATGGGTCATCTGTTAAGCTTAATGTTTACGTGCCAATTGTAGGATTCATATATGAGACCACCAGCTGAGAGGTAAGGTTTCTTTTATTGTTAAGCATTCTTTTATCTCTGGATAACAATTTTAACTTTTTAAAAATAATCAAATACAAACACCTGGCTTAAAAAATTCAAACAGTACAAAAGTAGACAAAATGAAAAGCAAACATCTCCTTTCTTCTCCACATCCCCAAAATAATCACTATTAAGTTTTCTTGGGTGTCCTCAGATACATTTATTTTATAAATACAGGGGAGGCTGAAACAGACATCTTCTCAAAAAAGGGTTTGCATTGCTGTTTCCAAAGATGTGTGTGTTCAAGCTGGAAGGTACTGCCAAATCACCTTCCTAAACGTTTGTATCAGTTTCCACTCAAACAATCAGGTGCACTTCGCTCACCGGTGTCCCATGTTATGTAGTAATTAATCTTTGCCAACCTGCTAGGTTGAAGTGACATCTCATTTTTTAAACTTGGTTTCTTTCATTTGAGTAAAGTTAGCATTTTGAAATGTTAACTGGCCTTTTGTATTCCTTTCTCTGTGAATCGTCTATTTGTGTCTTTTGTCTGCTTTTTGAAAGATAGCCGTATTTCCTTAATAATCTAAAAGAGCTCTTTGTATATGAAAGAAAATAACTGTATTGATTGTATGTTTGCAGAGTGCACACTTTCTTACTTGCGTCTGGATTATCGTGGTAATAAAACACTGAAAAGACAAAGGCAGGTGTGAGAGAGATTTAGTAGACTGAAGGCCCAATATGTAGATGTCTTTAGCAGAAGACAAACTAAGCAATGGGCACATTGTTTATAAACATTATCTCATTAGTCCTCAATGACCCAGTTAGGCATTACAAGCCCAGTTTTACAAATGAGAAAACCAAGGCTCAGGTCAAGTAATTCAAAGCAAGGTTCAAATCCAGGTTAGGCTCTAGCCAAACTTTCTGCAAAAAGCCATGGGGCTGCTCATGGGAAAGCTATAAATCCTCAAATATGGAATTCTTAACTAACAGTGCCAACAGCATAAAACCCAGAGGTGGCGGCAGCCCCCTAGTTAGCCTGGGTGACAGGAAGTAACACTATGGCTCAGAAGTTGAGTCACTCAGTTAAGGTCACACAAGGGTCCATCTGACTCAAAAACCTGTGGCCATCCCTCTCTGTACCACACCCACATCTTTCGTGGCTCTGGTTCCTGGAAGCCATAAAGTGGTGAGAAAGAAAGCAAAAGTGCCCTAATCTTTATCAGTGACCACAGCCCACCCCTGGGCTTCCTGGATGGCCACGTCCCCTCAGACTCAACCCTCCATATCGAGTGGAGGGATGGGTGAGCAACGTGGCAGGCACACACCCACTGGCAGGGGGGTTACACCCTTTTTCCCAGAGGGACCAGGGACCTGCTAAAGTCTGCTGATGCAGGCTTTTTTTGGTAGCCACAAATCAGTGCTGTCTCACAATTATACTAAACCTCTGTTCCCACCTCACCACAGAGTTCCACGTCCTCTATGCAGAAGATCCTCTTCACTAAAAGTGTCCCCTCTCCCACCCCCAAAATAAAATTAAATTAAAATAAAATAAAATAGGATGAAAGAGAAGGGGCACTAACACTCTAGTAGAAGAAGAAAAAGGTACTCAAGGAAATGGTGCTGGCCCGCAGTTAAGCGGAGCTGGCAACGGGAGCATTAGGTTGTGCCACCTCCCACCCAATTGCCCAACAGTTAAGATTCGAGCGGTTCCCTCTGGCGGAGTTTGCCTGCTGACTCATTTCCCATCCTGGACTACCATTCTGCCCACTTTCAGCTCAGCTCTTATCAGGCACATAAGGTCAGTGAGATAAAGGGGTTTCAATTTCTCCTGGGAACTCACCTGTCACAGGGGAAGGCTGAGGACTAAAAC